GAGGGAGCACTCAGTCCCCTCATCCAGAGCAGTGATAAAGATGTTTATTAAGATCTTTATAAAGAGTTATACTGCAGACTTAAATCTGCTTGACTGTTAACCTTGTAAAAGGAAAGACTGCTGCTCATTTTTCTGTCCTGCGGTAAACTACATAAATTACTTCTTTTCCTATCTTGGTTCTAAAGTACCAGGTTAAAAAAAAGGTGGCAGAAATGAAAGTCAAGTTCACTCACATGGAAAGCGTGAGGGATGGTTACGCAGATATGAACACTCACTGTGTTTTTGGTGTGACTACAAACATCCCGTTTGGGCTGAACCAACACCAGGCGCTGCTGACTTTTGAGGATGAGGAAGGTATGATGCTTATTTTAGGTGTAAAATTTAAAGATTTACCTTTTTTTTGGGAAAAAATAACAACAAAGAGTAGACTGAGAGCCTTTCACTACTGTGATACAATCGGTAGAAAATAATTCTGGGATGTTTGTGTTGGATTTCCAGACTTCTGCTCTCAGCTAATACAAACAAACATTTGAAATTGGGAATATGTTTCAAGAATTGTCAAGGGTGACTTCAAATGTTTCGACAGCGTAATTTGGTTCTTTTCTTTACCCTGGGCAGTACTTTACTGTGGACCCATCAGATGAGGGGTGGATGTGAGGGATGGTTCAGTCTGTGACTTGCCTGCTTCCTGCTGGGAAGAGACATTTTTAAGAGCCTGGGGAATAGTTTTGGGTTTATAAGGATTAAATAAGGCTTTTGCTATCTGAAAACTTGTGGTCTTCCTTAGTTGCCCAGAGACTGGTCAGAATGGGTAAGCATGCTGTGAACCTGGACAACAAAGTAGCAGACGTGAGGGTGAAGCCTTTTACACTTGAAATGGGGATGAAATTTCAGGTAATCGACTGAAACTCTAAAGGCACAAAGCTTTTGGTTCATTTTTTGGATGTTTTCAGTCACAAAACGCACAAAAATCCTATCTTTTTAGCTCCATGTCACCATTTCCGGAAGGAAGATCAACGTTTCAGAAGTACCTGAGCTAAACATTCCCGAAGACTGGATGAGAGACAAATTAGAGCTGAATTTCTACAAATCCGAACAGGGAGGAGGAGGAGAAGTGGAAAGCGTGAGCTACGACAAGCAGTCCAGAACCGCTGTTATTTCGTTCCTCAGACCTGGAGGTACAGAACATCGGGTTTTTTTAGCCAGTTTTACAGGCCATATTGTCCACTCTGCATTACATTGCATTGCATATTCCACTTTCTGTTAATTTAACCACTAAATGTAGCAATTTCTTCCAAGGGAGAGTTAAGCAGGTCAGGAGCAGATGTGGGTTCACCCACACATCTGTAAATCACCATTTCATCATCATCTTGCTGATCAAACACGGCCTCATATGCAGTTTCTGAGCTGTGTTTCTTTCTTTCTCAAAAGCCTCCTTTTTTTTCCTTCACGTTGCTCCACACTTCTATTGCAAAAATGAAAATTAGGAAAATGTGTTTGATTTTAGCTCTCGTTTCATGACAATGAAGTTAAGACAGGCATTCAGATTGCCCAACTGTATGAAACTCTCTGAAGATCAGCGGAGCCACATCGATTTACAGCAGCTGCTTTAGATTTATTTCAGAAGTTTTTGTGGGTATTTAATGATTTTGCTCTTCTGTAAATGCCTTATTTCTTTCTTTTTCAAAATGCATATGAAGAATCTACGAGCGTGCTATCACAGAATCCCAGAACATTGGGAGTTGGAAGGGCCCTGGAAAGCTCCCCCAGTGCACCCCCTGCCACAGCAGGAGCACCAGAGCAGTCACACAGGAACACGGCCAGGGCTTTGGGTGTCTGCACACAAGGAGACTCCACAACCTCTCTGGGCAGCCTGGGCCATGCTCCATAACCCTCACACTCACAAAGTTTGGCCTCATCTTCAGCTTGAACCTCCTGTGCTCCAGCTTGGGACCATTGCCCCTTGTCCTGGCATTGGCCATCCCAGAGCAGAACCTGGCTCCTTCCTCCTGGGGCCAGCACTGGACACAAGATTGAAGCTGTGGTGTGAGCAGGGCAGAGCAGAGGAGCAGGAGAAGCTCTCTGCCCTCCAACCACCCCTTCTCATCCAGCCCAGGATGGCGTTGGCCTTCTTGGCTCAAGGGCACATTGCTGCCTCATGGGCATTGCTGCCACCAACATCCCCAGGTCCCTTTCTGCTGTGCTACTCTCCAACAGCTCCGTCCCCAACCTATCCTGGTCCATGGGGTTCTTCTTC